CACTGCTCTGCCATCATCCATCCACCTCGTATATCCTCATAAAAGGCTATGAGATTGGCTCAGCTGAATGCTGTACAGGTTACAGTGTCACTGGCTTTGCAGAAGCAAAACTGCCTGATCGTCACAGAAAAAGGAAGCCGGTGCCTCTCCTAAGGAATATGGGTTGGCAAAAATGTCGTCATTATTTGTTCTGTTAATCTTCTTACGAGAGGGGAGTTTGTGCATCACTGGAATTTATTAGTTCATAGATTTCTGGGGGAAAAAAAAGTACTTTCCAGAAGTGCTTAGTCACTTCACCGACTTTCTTCCATGTTCTTGCACAACTTTTGACTTTGCACAACTTTTTTCTAAGAAGTTTGGGGTTTTTCCTTCTCCCCCCTCATTCCTAAAGTGCAGTTTCTTCATCATTACTTAAATATTTTTCTTCTCTCCTTACAACCTAATGTGGCCTCAGGGAAAAGAGCTTTCAGTGTGTGTGTGAGGTACCAGGCTGGCAATGGTTTGCAGCAGAATCTATGCAACACTGCAAGTCAAGGCATTTTTAGTGGAGATATAATGTCATTTAAAAAATCCTGTGAGGTGTAGCTGACAGCACAAAATCTTTGCTTTTTTTTTCTTTCACAGAGATTGCCCTAGTGACCAGCAAGCCTGAGAAAGTTGCACCTTCACGTCAGGATATATTCCAAGGTATGAGAGGAGATGAGTGGGTCTCCAGCGCTTGAAGTGTTGGGACGATTATCACAGGTCAGAGGGGAGCAATGAACGACTCTGTGGCTAAGTGTCCATCCTCCTCTTTTCCTTTCTCTGCAGAACAACTGGCAGCCATTCCAGAATTTAAGAGCTTGGGTCCGTTGTTCAAGTCTTCAGAACCAGTGCAGCTCACAGAAGCAGAAACGGAATATTTTGTTCGTTGTATTAAACACGTGTTCACAAATCACATCGTTTTCCAGGTAAGAGGAGTTAACGTGCTTTTGCCAGGGTACAACAGGAGTTGGCCCTTAATGATGCCTGGGTGTAGCATAAAGTGGTGTTGCTGTGCCCTGGAGAGGGCAACTTCTCTCTTAATGGAGCTGTAAGTTAAGTGGGTGTGTGCTGCTTACCTCAGTGATCAAAAAAGCATGGGGGTTGTGATCTCATTTGTTAATTATAGTAAAACTGGAGAGAAAAGCTGTTTAGTGAGGCAAGCTTGACCAAAGATGCAGGATGTCTGCTGTGTTCCTGAAGGGGTCCTACAGGAAAGCTGGGGAGGGACTTTTGACAAGGGCAGGTAGTAACAGAGCAAGGGAGAATGGTTTTAAACTGGCAGAGGGGAGATTTAGACTGGATATTAGGGAGAAATTCTTCCATGTGAGGTGGTGAGGCCCTGGCCCAGGTTGCCCAGAGAAGCTGTGGGTGCCCCCTCCCTGGCAGTGCCCAAGGCCAGGTTGGCTGGGGCTTGGAGCAGCCTGGGCTGGTGGAGGTGTCCCTGCCCATGGGGGTTGGACTGGAGGAGCTTTAAGGTCCCTTCCAACCCAAACCATTCTGTGATTCGGTGATGACAATTGTAGCTGTTTTGGGGAAAGATTCTTGATTAGAAATATTTCCTCTATGTTCAAGTCATTTTTGATTTCTTCTTCTGCAGTTTGATTGCACAAACACGTTAAATGATCAGCTGTTGGAGAGAGTCACCGTGCAGATGGAGCCATCAGATGCTTACGACGTGATCTGTTGCATCCCCGCGCCCAATCTGGCTTACAACCAGCCAGGCATGTGTTACACCCTGGTCCAGATTCCTCAGGATGACCCCACTGCAGGTAATCATCAGGAGGGCATGAGAAATCCCTCAAAACTTTTGGAGAACAGATAATAAAATGTTGAGGGTGGGGGATTTGGCAACTGCATACTGAGATTCTAGGGCTCTTTCTTTCTTATGTGTCACACATGCTGATTTTTATGTAGAACCTCTTTATGCAAAATACTGTACGTGCTTTTTAACCGATCAGTGGTACTGGTTGATTAAAAATGGGATGTTTAAGAGGACTGGAGAGCGTGCAGGTAATAGAGGAAAATGAGTTCATTATCTTGAGTCAATGAAAGGAGCACCCTTGAAAACAGTGATGTTTGTTGGTAGCAGTCAGGAACAAAATCAGTAAGAGGAAAATGTAAGTAGGAAGAAAAAAAGATTGGTAGTTTGGGCCTTTAAGTAATCCAGGTTTTCCTCTTTTCAGAGAATTAAAATGATGATGAAATTTAGGAATGCGAGATTTTCTTGGGCATGAAACTTCCCTTTCTTGCTTTTGTTATTCACACTTAAAAGGCTCCCCATTGGACTTGCAGTTGGTTTAACGTGACTCAGCTCATCAGCAGAGTGGATTTCTTGGTTATTACTTTCATACCAGAGATTAGAACTGGTCTGAATGCCTTGAGCTGTGATTTTTTGGATCATAATTCACACGTCAGAAACCCTTGCAGAGTTTCTCCTGGTAGCTGATGCCGACTGGATCGCATTGCACTCTGTAGTGAACTTGTGCTTGTTACACCATGGCCCTGGGCTTACTCCCATCCCCTTGAGATCTTCTTTTGGCCTCCATCTTAGAGTCTGAGGGGAAATTTTATATGAAATTGAAAAAAAAGCTCTGCCTACAACCGTGTCATATCTTCTGGAGCAAAGCCAATGCCCATTTTTTCTTCCTGGGAAGCGAGGGCTCAAGCAGAAGAAACTGCACTGCTAACCTATATGGGCTTTTCTTCTCCTCCCCAGTTGCTTGTACTTTCAGTTGCACAATGAAATTCACCGTTCGGGACTGTGACCCGAACACAGGTGTGCCAGAAGAAGATGGCTACGATGACGAGTATGTGGTAAGTTCAGGACCGGTGTGGGCTTTTTTCTTGTCACTAATTCTGAATACGTGTGGCCATGGGGTCAACGGTTTCCTTCCAGATCAGGAGCTACTAGGAAAGAGCAGCAGGCCTTTCTGAAACACCATTTCCAAAATATGGCAGCTTGTAACATTGAATTCTTCCCCAAACCATTGCTTCTCCCAATACTTCATCTTTAGTGCCCTGTGGAGAGAGGATTTGTCGGGTCAGATAGGAAGAAGGGAATAACATCTATTGTCCTTTTTCAGATCTGTGGCCCAATCTTTCTCTCTACCCCAAGCATTTGCACTTCAGTTTATTGTGGTCATGTTATATCGATCACTGAAATACAAATCAGACCTCAGGAAAGTGATTTTTGTGAAATGTCTGTGAAAGTGCTTGTTTTTTGGCCTTGGAGGAAGTAAAAGCTGCTTCTGGATTCTGAGAAAGTCTCTTCCCTCAGATGCCCAGAAAGGGTTAGAAAAGGCTTTGACTCACAAAGTGATTGCCCCATTTTCAGCTCTCCTTTGGTCTCACTGATGTTTTTAAGTGTTTTTAAACTTCACAGATGAGCACCATAAATCCTATTTTTCCCTTTTTTTAAGATGCTGTTATTATGTGCTTCTCCTGAAAATTAAAACCAGGCATGCCAGAGTTGTCTTGGCAAAATCCTGCTGTCTCTCTTTGTCGTTCTTTCCCTTCCTAAGATGAGGATCGTTTCTGTAACTGGCAGCTGAAAATCTCCCTTGCTTTTCCGTCAGTTGGAAGATTTGGAGGTGACGGTGTCTGATCACATCCAGAAGGTTTTAAAGCCCAACTTCGCAGCTGCTTGGGAAGAAGTGGGAGATGACTTTGAGAAAGAAGAAACCTTTGCACTTAGTTCGATTAAAACCCTTGACGGTGAGATGATCTCTCCTCCTTTATTGGTGACCCACGTAGTAATCCCATTAAATCGGCCATGCAGGGGATATATTTAGTGTGGTAGGAAAAGAATTTGGTGCCTTCCAACGTGAGTTTATGCCTCAGCAACAAGGCTTTGTGTTGCAGTGTTGGGATTATAGTGAGGGGTGCATTCCTAGGCTGTTAAAACAGCAGAAGGGACACCGAGGTGGGCGTGTTGGTGGGGCTGCAACCACGGTAGTGAATGGAAATGGTTAAACCACAGGGCTGCTTAGAGAACGTTCTTGAATCACAAATAGTTCTCGCAAAAAGCTTGGCACCAGCCCGGAGGTAATTTTCTTCTTCAATCTCTGAATGCAGAAGCTGTCAATAACATCGTCAAGTTCTTGGGCATGCAGCCCTGCGAGAGATCGGATAAAGTGCCAGAGAACAAAAATTCTCACACGCTCTACTTAGCTGGTAAGTATCCATGCTGTTAAACTCCATGTTTCCACGTCCCCACAGAGTTTGACTAAATGAAGAGAAGTGGGGTAGGAGGTTCTGCTCTTGTATAGAGAGGTTTTTCTCTATAGAAAGCTGAAGTGAACCAGTGAGTTGAATGCTGCAGGTGCTCATTTGGACCCTGCCGTGGGTGTACTCAGGCTAGGCTCAGTGTTTCAAAGTATGGGAAGTGAGTCCTTTGAATGAAGAACTTCCAGAGCAAACACCTAACTAAATTCCTTGCCTGAGGTTATTTCAGAAAGGGGTTCCTAGGACCATCTTGGTTTCAAATTCCTGTCACTAAAGACACATCCCGATTTGACCTGCAGTACCCACGACTTCTTGTTCGGTGACTGTGCTCCAGATTTACAGTTCTGGGCAATCACAGAATCACAGAACGTTAGGGATTGGAAGGGACCTCAAAAGCTCATCCAGTCCAATCCCCCTGCCGGAGCAGGAACACCCAGATGAGGTCACACAGGAAGGCGTCCAGGCGGGTTTTGAATGTCTTCAGAGAAGGAGACTCCACAACCTCTCTGGGCAGCCTGGGCCAGTGCTCTGTCACCCTCACTGAGAAGAAGTTTCTTCTCAAATTTAAGTGGAACCTCCTGTGTTCCAGCTTGTGTCCATTACCCCTTGTCCTATCGTTGTTTGTCACCGAGAAGAGCCTGGCTCCATCCTCATGATCCCTTGGAAGTGAAGCACTCCACAAAACTTTGTTGCAGTTATTAAAAGAAAACTGCAATGAATGTGACAGAAGGGACAGATCTCAATGTACTTCAGAGTCAGGATTGGTAACTCCAGCTCTGTCTGCATAGTGATGTTGAAGTGAGACTGGAAATGGCTCATCCTGCAGTCTGACTTGTTTCCAGGAGCACCACTTCCAAGCACTCTAGGAGAAGCACAGGAGGATTATTCCTCCCTTAACAGCAAGGGCACTGAGCCAACAGACAGCGTCTTCACAGCAGAATGGCAATATGTGATGACTTCTCACACTAAAGTGAGCTTCAGTAGCTGTTCTCTTCAGTCTTGATGTCAAAAGCTTAGAGGATTTTGGGGTTTTTGGGGTTTTTTTTGGTCATCTCTTAATCTCTCAAGTGTCACTTTGTCCCCAGGTGTATACAGAGGCGGCTGCGATGTGCTGGTAAGGTCCAGGCTTGCGCTAGGAGATGGGGTGACCATGCAGGTGACGGTGAGGAGCAAGGAAGAAACGCCCGTAGATGTCATCCTGGCTTCTGTAGGCTGAGTTTTACAGCCCGTCGACTGTGGTGGAAACCTCTTTTGCAAGCAGCCTCTCTGTCCTTCTGCATGTAGTTTTTATTCCTCGATTTGGTAAATATTTTGTATGATGTTACAGTAGTGGCTGGCTGGTACTAAGCCTTTCCCGTGTCCCTTTCCTTGTCGTCACTTACTTAACACATTCCTATCTAACTTATTGTATCTCTGGCCACTTGCAGCAGAGCAGGGAAGATAAAAAGATGCAGGTGGTAAGAAAACGGAATCAAGACTTTTGTCCAACCTGATTTTTATTAACAGAAAATAAACACTGGTTCAAACGGTGGAATTCATACGAATTACTGTTAATAAAATAGAAATTTCTTGTTGTAATTCTGTCTGCTTCGGTACAGAAAAAGTAGCCCATAATGGCTGTTTACTCAGCAGAAGCCCCTTAATCCTAAAGGGATGCTATTAAATTTCAAACGTAAGCAGTTATAAAAACCACACAAAACCTGCAGCGTCTGCCAAGCTGTAACTTTACAATTTCTGGATGAGCATCTCCTCTGTTCCACACAGCAACAAATCAGTGTGCGGAGGGAGAAATTAATCTTCACTTATGAAGGCTTATTTAATTCTCTGAGCCTTTGCTATTCTCTGACATAACAACACTGCAGCCTTTTCCTGGGCTCAAAGATGTGAAATATCCTGTATCAAAATTGGGAAGAGAGGGGGATGGAGGGACCTCGTGTTGTCTTCCTAATGAGGCAAGTTCTGCACCTCTCTGCTGACGAATTAGTGTTTCTTGTAGTTACCAAGTCAGGAGGAGGAAGGAAGAAATACTCTTTTAATTCTGATTTAACCATCCCTTGGGCTGAAATGGCTGTTGCTCAGAAGAACACCTTAGCTTTTGCTCATGCATATTCAGCTTGCTCTAGTGAAATGAGTATGAGCCTGCCCTGGTAGAACTGTGTGCTACAGCCAAGTTTTGGGGAAGCTCCCGAGATAATCCCAAGGGTGTGGGGTCAGTGAGTGGCTCTGCTTGAACTGAAAATCAGAGAAACAAGGGCTGTGGTAAAAACTTGAGGTTTAAAGCTAAGTTAAATTTGGGCAATTTACTGACGACATAATTATGTTGCCTAAATGCTCCCTTGATGGGTGCAGGGCATCATTGCCTGTACTTTGGGGGGGATTACAGATCCAGCTCTCGTGCTGTAGGCAAACTCGGTTTCAAATTCTTCAGTCCTGTCAAGCTGGCCAAGTATCAGAGCACTTAGCAGAGGGATAGAATTTAAACTGCCTGCACAGCAACTCAAAAAAATCAAACTAACACCATTTTGGGAATGTATCTGCATCAACCCTTGGCTGTTAGTGGTCCTGTCTACCTGTGGCATGCAGTGTAGCCTGGCAGCGAAGGTGAGTAAGGATTTCGGGCTGACATACGAGCCCTGCCTCCCCTCAGGTGCCCCTGTTGTCCCTTGAGCCCTCTTGGCTCTAAATACAGAGATGGGCAAGTCAAAAAGCAAGGTGGAAGAGCTGACTGTGTGTCCTGTAACTCTCCTTAGGTCGACAGTTTTGTCATTGCCTCCCTGCAGGCTGAACTTTCCCGCTGCTGAAAGATTTAACTGCATAAATGCAGCAGTTTGGCAGGTAAAGATGGGGGTGTTAGTGCAAAGTGTTAGATTTGGAGCTAAAAATCGAGGTTTCTTCCTGCCCTCAAAGCCTGACTCATAACCAGAGAGTGAGAACGGAGCTGCAGCAGCTCAGAAGGAGTTGATGAAGTTCAGATACGCGTTCAGGAAGCCTGTTGGATCCTCCAGCTGTGGATAGTGGCTTATGTGGTCGTCCAGCACAGACACCGTGGACATGGGAAGCACCTTCCTGTTGGAAAAATGCAGCAAGGCTTAGTTAAACACAGCAACTGCAGCTCTGCCTGCAGCCAGCCAGATGCTACCAAGTGAGGAGGACAATTTCCTCTTGCACAGTTGGGATTCTGCCCATAACCTGGTTTTGGCACAAGAAAAAGCCTGTAGCAGCTACAGTTGACCACTCTGCCAAGTGCTGGACTTTCTTTCAGGTTGGTTTGGAGGAGAAGACTACCTCAGTGATAAATCTTCCCTCAGATGCATCATTGATTTGACTGAGAATTGTGACTTTGATGCCTAAAACGTGGAAGCAATTTCCACACTGCAGAAAGCTCTGACTGAATCACTTGGCTGTGCAGGTTACAGGTGGGAATTAAAACCAACCTCCCTTAAGAAGGGAAGGAGAAATCGGAGACGGAATCTCCCTCAAAATGAATCCTGGTTGTGTATTCTTGCTTTGTGACGGGTATTGCCTTACTTGTAAAGCTGAAGAAACTCTGGGTGCGGATTCACAGGGTCCAGGGGCCCGTAGATGAGATGCACTGCAAGAGAGAAGCACAAGCAGAGCTTTTATACCCAAGGACATCCCTAAACCAAGCCAAGGAGATCTCCTGCAGACTTATTCCCCCCTGTAGCATGGAGCTTGGGAAGATTTCAGCACAGCACTGAATAAACCAGATGCAGAAGGGCTCTTGCTTCTCTGCCCTGGGTTCAAGTTAGCTTCAAACCTCCTCCTTGCCTGCTTACCACTTCTCTTGAGCTTGAAAAGCACCTTGGCTTCTCTGCAGCTGGAGAAACTGGGAGCTGTGAACCAGCCTCTAAAGGGAAGTTGCCTTTTTCCTCTTACCTTAATCTCACAGCTCTCCTCATTGGAATAATGAGAGGCTCCTGCAATTAGTGGAAGGAGCCAGCCCCAAGCTCCAGTGCCTGCAGGGGAGGGGAGCAGTTCCCAACATCCTGAGCAGTAAATCAAGGAAAACGGATTCCTACTCACGTGGGACAGAGGTGGACATCAAAGCCCCAACCCAGCGGTCTCTGTGCTTCTTCCTCTGGTTTATGTACTGCAAAATACTGAAGAGAAACCTGTTGTTATGCAGCGGTGCTGCAAAGCGTGGAAATTGCTCTGAGGGCAACGAGGCCGAGGTGGAATCTGCTTCTTGCATGGACCATCTCCTTGGGGCAGCAGCAACACAAAATCAGTCCGCTGACCATCCCTGAGCTTAAGGAACTGTCTACGGTGGTTTTATTTCGAAAGCAAATGAGGTTGGGACGCTGACCCCAGGTCTTGCTCGGGTGGCAGAGCAAAAATGCAAAATGGGGCAGAAATTGGTCTGCTAAAAGTTAACACAGAGGCAGCACCAGCCCAGGGCTCCCGTGCTGGGCTCACCAAGTGGTGCTGCAGCTCCGAAACCATTTCAGTGCCCTGCGGAAGAGGAGTCAACGCTGAACTGCTGAGTGTGGAGAAGTGCAGGAGAAGATCAATTGCACTGGTCAGGTCTTACAGTGAAAAACCTGAATTCCTCAAGGCTCCTCTGTTTGTCTCATCCCTGCAGCCAGCAATCTGAAGTGACTCCTTGCTTCTGCACAGCTCTCAAAGGCTGAGGCTCACAATTTATCAGCAGGTTCAAGTCAGTTGGGTTATAAAAAGCCTTCCAAGGCTGGGAAGCTGTGCTGAACAAGCACACCAATGCCCTGACACATGACATTTAACCACTCAGCTTCCCACCGTGGCTGCGCTGCCAGCAAAAATTTGCCATGACGGGACTTGCCAAGCGGGCAGCACATCAGACACAGCCACGGTGACTATTCCTCGTTATAAAGGGCTATTAGCAGGTGCTCTTTGGTCCTTACTGTGTTTTGTGAGAGAGACTGGCCCCAGCAGGACGAGGGAGGAGATTACACGTTGGGGGAGAAGGACGCACACAGGCCACGCTGAATGGGAAAACTCAACTCACAAGCACCAACCCAAGGTCCTTCCTAAAGTCCCCAAGTGGAGAAAACCAGATTTAACTCCAGTTTTTAGCAAAACCCCATAAATTCAAGCCCTTAACTTCCAAAGAAGAAAGAAACCCCACATTGCACACCTCCAGCATTTTTCTTCTCCCACAACATGCAGGCTCAGATCCTCCTGACTCCAGATTTCATTTACCTGCCTTGCATTACCCCAGCAAG